TGTTGGCAGTGTTGGTTGCAGTGTTGGTTGTGGTGTTGGCGGTGTTGCTGGCAGTGTTGGCAGTGTTGGTTGCAGTGTTGGTTGTGGTGTTGGCAGTGTTGGTTGCAGCGTTGGTTGCAGTGTTGGTCGCGGTGTTGGCGGTGTTGATCGTACTGTTGTTGGCAGCGTTGGTCTCCCGCTGCGGCGCTGCCCTCCTGGCACAGCCCCACGTGCCCCATAAGGGTGCGGTGTTTTGCACGGCAGCAAATTGCAGCCCTGCTTTCACAACCTCGTGCCACAGCCAGGTGCTGCTCCCCGCCCCTCACTGCCCCATAACCCCCCTCCTCCCCCCGCTGCCCCATAACCCATCTTCCCCCTCTCACTGCAGCCAACGGAACCCCTTTAGAGCCTGTCCCGGGCCCAGAGCAGCGCTCAGCCATGGGGCCGCCCTATAGCAACCTCAGAGCATCTGGCGGTGAGTGGAGCTCAGCCTGAGATCGTCCAGGGGGGAGAAATGGGGCTCTGCCCCACAGTACTGCACACAGCTCTGCCCCACGTCTCTGCCCCATGTATCTGCCCCACAGCTCTGCCCCACAGTTCTGCCCTGTTTTCTCTGCCCTACAGTTCTGCCCCACAGCTCTCTTTGCCCCACATCTCTGCCCATGTCTCTGCCCTATGTCTCTCTCTACCCCACGTCTGCCCCACAGCTCTGCCCCACGTTTCTGCTCCATATATCTGTCCCACAGCTCTGCCCTGTTTCTATCTGCCTCACGTCTCTGTCCCATCTCTGCCCCATATCTCTGCCCCACAGCTCTGCCCCACATATCTGTCCCACAGCTCTGCCCTGTTTCTCTCTGCCCCACAGCTCTCTTTGCCCCACATCTCTGCCCCACATCTCTGCCCCATGTCTCTGCCCCATGTCTCTCTCTACCCCAAGTCTGCTCCACAGCTCTGCCCCACGTTTCTGCTCCATATATCTGTCCCACAGCTCTGCCCTGTTTCTCTCTGCCTCATGTCTCTGTCCCGTGTCTGTCCCACATCTCTGCCCCACAGCTCTGCCCTATTTTTCTCTGCACCACAAGTCACGGGGGGGGAGCGCAGCCCACCCATCCCTGCCGGACCAGCCGGACCGGCTCCTCTGTGACCCCGTTGTGCAAATCTCTGGGCGGTGGATGGAGGTGGGGGGGGGGGTGGAGGGAAGAGGTTTGGAGCGGGCGGAGCGCTGCCGCTGCGATGATGCAAGAGCGGAATGGCAAAGCGCTCCGTGCCGCTCCGCCGCTCACAGCGCGATGGCGGAGAGCAGTGAGTGGTGGTGGTGGTGGGGGGGGGGGTTGAGGGGGGTTTTAGGGGTCCCGATCCGCCCCACCACCGCTCTCCGTGCCGCCCTCACTCCGCCCGTCCTCTCTGTGCCCCCCCCCCCGCAGAGGACGGCCCTGCCGAGAGCATCGGCTCCGTGTCGGGCAGCAGGAACGCGCTGCAGCCGCTGCAGGGGGAGGAGGATGAACACTTCACCACTTACTTCGACAGCAAAATCCCCATCCCCGAGGATGAGACGGTGGGTGCGCGGCCCCCCAAACCCCCCCAACACCCAGGGTGGGGTCCGTGCTGCTCCTGGGGGTCCGATCTGCGCTGCTCCTGGGGGTCTGAGCTCTTCTTGGATGTCTGTGCTGCTCCCAGGGTCCCTGGTGCTTGTGGGGGTCTTCACTGCTCCCGGGGGTCCACAGTGTTTCTGGGGGTCCTCATTGCTCCTGGGGGTCTACAGTACCCCTGGGGGTCCATGCTGTTCCTTTGGGTCCATGGTGCTCCTTAGGGTCTGCACTGCTTCCAGGGCTCTGTGCTGCTCCTGGGGGTCTGTGCTGCTCCCAGGGTGCAGGGACCCCCACCCTGAGGGTCCGGGGTGGCTCCCCAGAGGTGTGCGCTGTTCCTGGGGGTCTGTGCTGCTCCTGGAGGTCCATGGTGCTCCCTGAGGTCTGCGCTGCTCTCAGGGGTCTGTGCTCTTCCCAGGGCTCCACAGAGCTCCTAGAGATCTCTGGTGCTCTCAGGGGTCTGTGCTGTTCCTGGGGGTCCATGGTTCTGTGCTCCTGGGGGTCCTCATTGCTCCTGGGGGTCAGCAGGGCTCCTGGGGGTCCATGCTGTTCATTCAGGTCCATGGTGCTCCTGGGGGTCTGTGCTGCTTCCAGGGGGTCTGCAGTAGTCCTGGGGGTCTACAGTGCTCCCAGGGGTCCGTGGTTCTGTGCTCCTGGGGGTCCTCATGACTCCTGGGGGTCCGTGCTGCTCCTGGGGGTCTGTGCTGCTCCCAGGGGTCCACGCTGTTCTTGGGTGTCCACAGTGCTCCCAGGGCTCCGTGGTGCCCCTGGGGGTCTGTGGTGCCCCTGGGGCTGAGGGCCACCCCTCGTTGCACAGCACTCGTGCTTCAGTTTCCGAAAGCTGTGGGCATTCACCGGGCCGGGCTTCCTGATGAGCATCGCTTACCTCGACCCCGGCAACATCGAGTCCGACCTGCAGTCTGGAGCTGTGGCGGGGTTCAAGGTCTGAATGGGGGGAGGGCATGGGGGGGGGGCGGGGGGGGGGACAGGGGGACTTGGGTAAGGGGTGGGGGGGTGGGGGTCAGGGGAGGAGGGTTTGGGGCAGGGGCAGAAAGTTTTGAGGTCGAGGCAGAAAGGTTTGGGGTCAGGGTAGAAAGGTTTGGGTTCAAGGAAGGAGGATTTGGGGTCAGGGGCAGGAGGACTTGGGGTCAAGGCAGAGAGGTTTGGGGTCAGGGGAGGAGGGTTTGGGATCAGGGCAGAAAGGTTTGAGGTTGGTGCAAAAAGATTTGAAGTCAAGGGAGGAGGTTTTGGGGTCAAGGCAGAGAGGTTTGGGGTGAGGACAGAAAGGTTTGGGGTCAGGGGAGGAGGGCTTGGGTCGAGGCAGAGAGGTTTGGGGCTGGGGGTGGAGGGTTTGGGATAGGAGCAGAAAGGTTGGGTGTCGGGAGGAAGGTTTGGGGTGAGAGCAAAAAGGGTCAGCATAGAAGGGTTTAGGGTTAGAGCAGAAAAGTTGGGGTTGGGGTAAAAGGGTTTAAAGTTGGTGAAGGTTTGGGGTGAGGGCTGGAGGATTTGGGGTTGGGGCAGAAAGATTTAGGGTCGGGGTAGAAGGGTTTAAGGGCAGGGCAGGAGGGTTTAGGGTTAGGTTGGAAAGGTTTAGGGTCAAGGTAGAAAGATTTAGGGTCAGGGCAGGCAGGTTTATGGTTAGGGTAGAAGGGTTTGGGGTCTGGGCAAGAAGGGAAGGGACAGGATAGGAAGTTTTGGGGTCAGGACAGAAAAGGTAGAGTCAGGGCAGGAGTATTTAGGGTTGGGGCAGAAAGGGCTAGGGATGAGGCAGGAGAATTTGGGGTCAGGGCAGGAGGATTTAGGGTCAGGGTAAGAGGGTTTGGGGTCAGGGCAGAAAGGTTTGGGTCAGGGTAGAAGACTTTGGGGTTGGGGAAGAAGGGTTTAGGATCAGGATTGAAAGATTTGGGGTCGGGGTGGAGAGATTTAAGGGCAGGGCAGGAGGGGTTAGGGATGGGGCAGGAAAGTATGGGGTCAGGGCAGCATTTGGGGTTAAGAAAGAAGTCTTTAAGGTTGGGGCAGGAGGAGGGGTAGGGACAGGGCAGGAGGATTTAGGGTCAAGATCCAAAGGTTAGGCTTGGGAGAGGAGGACACAGGGTTGGGGTAGAAGGGTTTAAGGCTGGGGAGGGTTTGGGGTCAGGGCAGGAAGGTTTAGGGTCGGTTTGGAAAGGTTTGGGGTCAGGGTAGAAAGATTTAGGGTCAGGGCAGGAGGGTTAGGGTTGGGGTGGAAGGGTTTGGGATCAGGACAAGGGGACAGGAGGGGTTGGGGTTGGGATGGGCAGGATGCGGGGTGCGGAGCAGCGCAGAGCTGCGCTGGTGGGGCGTCCTGTGATCCATGAGGAGCTCAGCCGTTTCTGCTGTGATCCATGGCTGCACTGAGCTCCACCACTTCTACTCCGTGGTCCCCGGGCGGCGCTCAGCCCTTCACCCCCCTCCTGTCCCTGCAGCTGCTCTGGGTGCTGCTGTTGGCCACGGTGATCGGGCTGCTGCTGCAGCGCCTGGCGGCGCGGCTCGGCGTGGTGACGGGGCTGCACCTGGCTGAGGTCTGCCATCGCCAGTACCACAGGGTGAGTGGGGAGGGGGGTGGGGGGCACTGCTCTGACCTCCTGGTCCCCCTCCATACGGCTGCAGGGCTCCATTCACAGCCCACCCCCCTCCTCCCCTTCCCCAGACCTGCAGGGCGCTGCTCACAGCCCATCCCTTGTCTTCCCCACCCCCATGGCTACAGGGCACCCCTCGCTGCCCGCTCTTCACCACGCCTCCCATCTCATGGCTGCATGCCACTGCTCACTGCCCACCCCTCTTTTTCTCCCCCTCCCCATGGCTGCAAGGCTCTGCTCACAGCCCACCCCATGTGCTCCCCCTCCCCAGGACTGCATGGCACCACTCACAGCTCAGCCCTCATCTCCCCCTCCCCATGGCTTCATGGCCACTCACCTAACCCTAACCCTAACCC